ACACTTCAAAAGACTGTCACAGAAATAATTTGCAATGTCTTATGCGCTTACAAAGATGAAAATTAGCATAATGTATTAATGTTGATAACAAAATTCTTTTATCTGGTACCAATCTAAGCTCTTCTTTCTTTAGATGTTAGATGTGTTTGCAAAGCAAGCCACATTTTCACACTGAAGGGTGCGTACGACATCAGTTATCTTATGTCAATCCCAAGAATGTTTAAGGTTATATCGGTTGATGAGGAATTTATTGATTAGGCCTATAATAGCAAATTGCATCAATTTATTTTGCAAAAAAAAGGTTTCCCGCTTCAGAGGGGGCCACATCCTCTGTCCGCACAAGGGCACACATTGGCGCTAACACCAGGCGCGTAACAGGGGTCTTGGGGGGGGGGGGGGGGGGGGGTGGCAAAGTTATTTATTTTTCTGGTTAGTAATTTATCATTCCCATCCCACCCCCTCCCCAAATAGAAAACAATACGACATAGGGCTTATCTTATTTATAATAATGGCCACACACGTGTGTTAAACTAAATATAAGCATTTTCATCATGGTTTTATTTATTACAAACATATTCTTTCACCATCAATACACATTGAGGTCCTTCTTTTAGGTTAAAACGATCTAAAATTTTTCTTTCTTGAGTTTGGGACTATTATGTGTTTAAATAACTTAAAAGGATAAACCTAAAAAAAACCCTAAGAAATGCACGACAAAATTTTATGTTTTTAATTATAATTTTGTCAGAATTGATGAAAACTTCCTAAAATGTGCAATTTACAGAGGAAATTGGCCTACCGTCACAAAAAATGCGCGCGAAGATTTTGAGAATTTTAGACACTTTCAGAGGATGCATTTATCAAGGGGTGGGGAAAGATTTTCTAAAGATAGATATTTTCCCCTTGTCCCCCTGGGGTTACGCCATCGGGCAGCATAGATCAAAGGAGTTATGACATTTTTTGAAGTGGAGAAGGGGTTGCAGGGTGTTGTGAGTCTGGTCATTATGATATCTTCCTCTTTTTCTTTTCCTTTCCTTTTCTTTTCCTCTTCTTCATATTTCTCTCCCTCTCCCTCTCCCTCTTTCTTTTCTCTTATTATCCAGCTGGTACGACGGCTTGGTCAGCCCGGTAAAAGCCGTCAGGGGAGGGGCAGTGTGCCCCTCTCCCCCACGCCTGTTACACCACTGGCTAACACGCCAATCATCCCCCCCACCCCCAATGAAAAATATTTTTCTACGCCACTGATAATAATAATAATAATAATAACAACAACAACAACATTGCAGTACCCTCTGCTTACTTGGACTCGAATTCAACGATAGCCATCAAGCACAAGCTCGGTGGTCTAGAGGTATGATGCCAGGCTAGTGATCTGGAGATCGTTGCTTCGAGTCCCATCCGAAATTTTTTTGCAATTGTTTTCACACGTACTGAGTATTCAGTACATTTCCACGTCAGGTAGGACAAAACTACACCTATAAATAATAATAATAATAATAATAATAATAATAATTATTATTATTATTATTATTATTATTATTATTATTATTATTATTATTATTATTATTATTATTATTATTATTATTATTAATATTGTTATTAATATTTTTACTATTATTATTATTATTATTATTTGATTATTATTATTATTATTATTATTATTATTATTATTATTATTATTATTATTATTATTATTAATCAAAGTATTAAGCATACACGGTAACTACACAGTAGATACAGTGCCATTATTATCATTATTAATTTTAGCAAAGGAAATCAGAATGCTTTAAAATAAATAAATGCATTAAAGTGAATGTTCCCATTGGAGTTAATGGTTGTATTTAGTCGGAGGTGGTTGAAGTGATTTCAAGACACTTTCTGTGTTTGCTACCCTCTTTAGTCAGTTAATCTAATTAGACTATTACATCCAGTTTCTAAAACAATGAGTTCTCCACTTGTTTGTTTTTAGTAGTTATTTATGTACCTAAACATGTTTTATTATGTGGCAATCATAGATTATTTCATTGTTGTAATTCTGTTTAATAACAATTGAAAGTATGAATTACATTCAGAAACATATTTTCCATAGAACGACTGAATGAAGTCTAATTATCGGAAACATTTTCGGAAACGTTCGTCAATTTCCGCTCGATTGCTTTTTGGCTATCTCCTCTAGCGGCCATCGCATAAAGGTAATGTGGGAACAGTATGAGATATATATTTCGAATCTGATGTAATCATGGCTTTAGAGTTGGCATGTATCATACGATAAGACGTACATTGAGTTAAGTACAGCATTTTGTTTAAGTACATATGTTTCTTTTTCTGTTTGTAGGAGAAAAATCCTAAACAAGTAGCCCATCAAAACGGCTAGTCCTACAAAGGGACTACCGTTGTTTTCACGTTGCAATGAGCTATAATATTCACCAAGGAAAGCCACCCCAACCACAAAACCAGCATTCGGTGCATTCTCGGGGACAGCAGCAGTCTTCGTATCCTTTATTTAACGTTCGGTTACAAATTCTTAGTAGATAATTTCAAACGTTATTAATTTGACTTGCGATATTTCACCCTACTTGACGATCAATTTGTGTTTCTACGTACCACTCGCACATTTAGAAAGTACCAACCAACAACCATGAAACCGGCGAAACGTGTTACACACACTAAAGGGCGGTGAACAGCTTCTGCGCATGGCTGCAGACATCGCCGAAATTAATGTTAACATACGTTCCACAATTTTCTAAATGTGGCGTGTCTTTTGGAACATACTTTTTGAACTTACAGAATTTGAAGAAATGATAAATACCATTCTTGGATGTACTACAGGAATGTACTTAGACTAGGCCTAGGGGCCTAGGTTAGGCCTTATTATCACCATGTCTTGCTCTCTCTGTAGACACTAGTTTTGTTGATTCTGGGGATGGGCTGGCCAGTGGCATCACTGGGTGTTACTGGATTGTTAGTCCACAAAGTACAGCATTTTTTTCACATTCCATATGTGTGAAGCAGAAATGATGTGATTAATGAGTAATATCTATTATATTTAATTATGTCATCTACATTATTTGTTTTCAATTTGATTTCTCAACATATCAAACCTAGGCCTAGGCTAGTTAGTATTGCATAGTCTAGCCTGTATATTATACACCATTTTCACCCAATTTTAAATAAATGAACATTTCCGAGAACCTGGCAACTACCACTGGAGAACTTCCAGAGGCCAAGAATTTTGCTATGCGTAGTTACCATCATGGATTAATTAAACGATAAAAAACTAAATTACTAATGAGCAGAAATATATTAAAACAGAAAAAGAACGAAATGTTGGTACTAAACATTAGTCTTAAAAAGCTATTTCAATGTTTACATAAAGTAATTAGCAAAAAGATCGTATCTGTTTGCTGCTGATATAGCAAAGGTTTAGCAGCACTATATGTTGCACGTTGCTCTATTTGTGACTAGCCAGCTGCTCATCAGGGTAGGCTGCTAGATGTCCCCCAGTGAAAGGTTGCGAGACGTTGGTGGTGCTATTTCAAAATAGACCCTGATAATATGGTGTATATATAGAAGATTGAATGTTTGTGTTTTTTATGTTTTTAGTTTTAATTATTGATGTGTTGGTGTTGATGCATGCTTTGGAGTAGCTATTCAGTCAACTGTCAGTCAAATTGGTATGTAGGCCTACTTTGTAGTATCATAAGCATGTACAGGTTGTCCTTTTCCTTTATAAAATTTTTGTAGTGGACATTATCCTCGTGACGACTATCAACGCCGGTCGGGTTATAATCCAGTAAGTATTTTTATTCAGTTTCTCAAAGGTTGATTTGATATTGTAAAGTTGATTAATGAAATTCAAATCATACCTAATTTAGGTATCTGTTAGAACATTTTAATGTAAACAATAGATTTACAGTATTGGTTTCTATAATAATGACCTATTCAATACATCAGTGCTTTCCTTTTTCACATTAATATTTTGATTGTTGTCTGTGAATTTTTATTGTCTTTTCTTTGTATGTTTTAACGTCTTGATAATTTTTTTTTTTTTCGGGAGAAACTTTCTTAAGGATCTCTGCACCTGTTGTTTTTTTTCCATTCATATGCCAGGGGAAGACTTGGGAGTGGTGTCATCTGTCCCCGGCCACCTAAATTTTTCAAAATAAAAAAAAGTAATGGTGAAAACAAAAACTGTATTAAAGTCTTAGTGCCATATATCCAGCCATTTAGAGGTACCATTTTGATCAGAAAATGTCTTACCTTGGGGCCCAGAGCTGGAAAAAGTGCATGACTGTGCGACTGGCGGTCGAAGGCATCACGAATGTCCCGGAGGAATTTTGGGGGGAAAATTTTTAAAAAATATACTGTGTGCTATAAAGTGTACAGATAACATTTGGTGCAGGAGGCATTTTATCGAGACAATTTTATGATCAGATTCACAAACATTTTTTTTTCCAGGCCTGCCCCAACCATGAAGCTGTGGAAACTCCTCCTTTGAACCCCCATTACGAATTCCTGGATCCGCCAGTGCATGCTTTATTTACATTTTACTAAATTTTAATTATAACTGTTTTATATTGTATATTTGTACAGTATATTAAAATGTAAAAGTAATTAAAAGATAGCTACACTAGCTGAATCATCTTGAGTGAATGTCTATCATTATATTTATTCCATAATCATTGTACAGGTTCAATAGAATTGATAAAAATGTAAAAGAACAGTGTTATCATCATAAAACAGTTGAAAAATGAAAGTATCCTCTAGTTTCAAACTAAACTGACTACTGTACAGCTTCACATCATGATTGATGAGCTGTTGCTAAAATTGTTTGTCTTTATATAGTATTTGGCAGGTTGACCCATAGACATCTTCCTCATCCATAAAGGAAAATTTTGAATTTTAATTAGATTTTTCTGTGCTTATTAGTAATCGTTTGCCATGACTGCATAAATCAGTTGCTTGAGATATAATGAATAGGTTTTTTTTTTTTCTAGAGTACTATAATGAACATTGTTTATTTTCAGGGAAGGCAGGGACGGCCAGGTCAATCTCCATCGCCAGGTGCACCTCTACCTAATCACCCCCATGATCTAAACAAAGCTGGTGTGGCCGGTAGGCCTACAGTTACACCACCGCCATCCCAGTCTGGCCCAATGAGCAACCCAATACAACCAAATCCTGGAACAGTTGTTGGCGGGCCTCAAATTCCATTAGTATATCAAAGACATCAAGTGAGTTCACAAAATGTTAATAGTTTAGGCAGTAGCTATTGTTGCACCATTTTCAAACAAATTTTAAATTCATGTTAGATGTCATTGCATGTATGGAGACTGGTGTAACAATAGCCAACCCATAAGATCATCAGTACAAATTTGTGTGAATATGTTACCGCACTACTGTCTTCATGATCAAATAAGATTGTTATGCCAGTTAGTGGCTAGTATATCTGTAGCTTACAATTGCTCAGCCTTCTGATTTGGGACTAAAAATATTCTCTACAAAAATATTGCAGAGACGAATTAGGCATAAAGGTGCTCACCATGGATAATATTTTTGGAGGCATGGGTCTTAACACACGATCCCTTGAGTGACAAGGAGCGCACACGCGGTTAAATTTTAAATTTTATATATTTACATTTTTTACATTTTTTCTGTTTTGGATTTTAATGTTTTAGTATTTTACTTCTGCCAGCTGAAGATGCTTTTCTTTCGTTTTTTTATGGAAGGCAAATAAGGTTTATTTGTATTAGTATTACTTGCTTCCAGCCAGCGCCCGCTCTATCGCGCTGTCCCTGGAACACGACTGCCTACAATGTTGCTAAAAACCACAGACAAAGTATAGTGAAAGAAACTTTGAACTGTGAATGGGGCTTTGTGAAACCTTGTGATGTACTGTATGGTGTGGTTGTGATGTGAATAGAAAATGAACAATTCCATAATGCTCTTAAAAATTAACATAATCCAATGATTGAAATACATACTAAGTTAGAATTTTCAAATAATTTTTATAACTGTTTAGTGCACTCAGTTAAATAATATCTCATTCTGAATTTTTTCATTTTCTTTTTTTTTTCTATTACAACTCTTAGTAAACATTTTAGTCAACTTTGTTACACTAGGCCTACAGTACATTTGCTGCAATATTTCTAACATTTTCAATTTGAAAAAAACCTTGTTCAGGCCTCCACTGGAGTAGCTACCTAAAAATCGGGAAGGTAGGAGATTCCTTGAAAAACCCACCAAAATCGGTTCTGGCTAAAACATAGACTAAAAACATAATTGTAGATTGCTGTATCATTTTTAAAAAATGACTGGAAATTGTAAAATCACAAAAACAAAAGGCCGCGAAATATTTCAAATTGTAAAATCGTAAAAAGAAAGGGATTTACAGGAGGTTCACTTCAGTGACATTGTAATTCATTGGATTAGGATTCCTTGTATTATTACTAGTTATCCCAATGAAGCCATTTTGCGTGAGCCTGACTGATTATTCTGTTTGCTGATGACCCACTCAAATCTATTTTTATTTACACACAAATGACCATACCCTTCCGACATACTGTTAACAATGAACTCACGATTCTAGCGAACCGACTTTCTTTAAGTGACCTAAAATTCATGCGAAGTTTATTCACTTTTGTTGGCTTTGCCATTTGGTTTTTCCCATACAGTTTACAGCCCATAAATTAGGAAAAATTTAGGTTGGCCAAAATTTGCCGACCTAAATTCTCCGAGGTCAGCAGCCTCGGCAATTTTTTACTACCTAGGCCTATATAGTATAAACTACGATTTTTCCGAACACTCGACCTTGCATCGTCATCTACAGATTGTGATTTTGTTAAGTTCTCTTAAATCAATATATTGCTGGTGAAAGAATGGTTGTACTTGTATTAATTTAATAGTGTAGTATAATATTATGTTTTACATAAGAAAATCGCCGAATAAATTTCGTTTTTCTTATCGTACCTACTGCATGCCTATTAGAAATAGTTATTGTTCAAACCAAGTCTGTTTTATAAACCAGCAATTGCCTTGGTACATGAAATTTAGTGTCTGCTACAGCCTGTTTCAGTAAAAGTTTTTGACTTTCCAAGCAATTTTTGAAGCAAAGAAATCTAGGTCGGCAAATGTAGCAATTCTGGCTCAGCAATATGGTCGGCAATTGCCGATTGCCGACTTGAAATTCGTGGGCTGAGTTTAATTAATTTGTATGATGTTTGCACCAAGTAAAATAAAGCTAAGTTGGAAGTTATTGTTACTATCCTTGTATCCATTGAATATCAGAATCGGAAGAAAGAACAACAAAACAAATGCATAAGTAGACAAATGGACATGTAGACGATATAGAAATAATAATTATAAGCATAGATATAGAAGACATTGAAGGCCAGAAACAGAAGAAAATTGAGCAACAAATGACTTCAAAGGGATACCGTCTGATAGTAAAATATGCCAATTACAGAAGCTTTATTAGAAAAATTATTGAATTTTAATACACTGTTAATACAAAACCAATTATTTTAGAGATTGGGGTTCAACTTATACGCCAGAAAATGATATATTTTTATGTAGTTATAGACAGTAGTATGTTCTATTTGTTACTAAAACTATAAGTAACAATTGTGAAATAAAAACATGTTCAAGTACTGTGTATCCAAACAGGAAACAAAATTGCTGCCATTCTTACGCTATTTTTAAATATGAGCGATGTAGGAAGCCTAGTGACCTTTGACCCATATTTTGGTCACATTGGTATGACACTGCATTAAATTGCATTATATGTGATAGAGTAAATGCTATTGGAAAATGGTATTTTGAAACTACATTTCATTAAGATAGTGATGTTTCTGGTTTTCTATATAAATGTGAGAATGTTAAAGATAAGCTGTTAATATCTGGAAAACGCCTCAAATTTGTTTTTAGATATAGAATTGAAAAAGTTCAGATTATAAATTTCAATGACAAATTGAAACACTACTTAGGCTACAGAAGGGAAAAAAAGCCTAGCATATCAAATTGGTTTGATTATGCTAGGCTAATACATTGTTAGCTTCTTAAAACAACATAGTGTTTATAGCTTCTTGTGTTTTTAATAACTTTTCATCATGCATTAAAATTCATTATGAAAAGTTGTTAGGATTTACAGTATCTGAATAGACATATTGATTACTTAATGTTTTTAAAGGCAGGACTATTTAACTGCTACTGCTTGAATTTGATTCGCACGCACTCAAGTTGATATGTTCAGGATATTTTAATCAAGAGTTAGTTTATAAACTGTTATAATTTTGTTTTCTGCTAACCTAACCACTACATGTCACTCTGGACTCGAATGAACCACTGTTGTCTATAATCTTATTGTACTGTATTGTGTATTTTTTATTATGTATTGCGGCACACCATTGTCACATGTGGCAATGGCATAATGTTTCCTTGTATTTTTATCAAACGTTTTTTTTTATGATTACTAAATAAATAGAATCAATATGGATGATCAGATAGTTGTTACATTGTTGATTGATCAATGAATAATAACTATAGAACCAGTGGTTCAAGTAATTTACACATTCAGTTAAACATATTAATTAATACAGTATAATAATAAAAGTCTGCTGTAGCCTGGTGTATATAGTATATCTGACCTTCGAAATGACTTAAATGTGAATCTTCTGGCTAAAATGTTTGTTGTATAATAAGACTTTTTAGTTGTGTAGAATAACACTGCACAGGTGCATGCAAAGTTAAATACTAGGTCAAAAGCATTAACAGTGACAGCCTGCAACAACAGGAGGCCTGCTTGGGTGTTACTGTACATGCAATGTCAATAAGTCAGAGCCAACAACAAGAGGAGGCCGGCCATGGGTGGTGTTATCTGTTGTTAAATGTTTGGCCTTTTTTTACTTGCTAGCTTGTCTTTAGTTACTGTATTTCAGTAGGCCTATTTAAAAGTGGTAACTGTAAAATTATCCACATGTATTTTTGAAAAGTTGTTAAAATATTGGTCAGTATTTGCAGTGTTATATCCCAAAGGTGGATTTGGTGGAATGATTTGACGGAATAAAAGGCTCCTGACCAGAATTAATTATAATACTTAATATAATTAAGTATAATATACTATCTATATTATAATTAAGTACTGTATAATATACCATTTTTAAAACAGAAAGGCATTTCACTCATATGTATTGGTTGTGTACAATACTTTATTAATTTCATTTAAACATCATTTCTTGTTTCAGCTCTTCAAAACCCAATATTGAACAATTTTCTATTTGAATTCTAGACTTAAATCACATGAAATAAAACATCACTACAGTAATTGATTTGAAAATCCTGTCATATTGTATAAAATAGTCTTATTTTATACTTAACAGTTTTAGGCCTAGCATTTCCCCCCCCCCCCTTTTCGAACCCTTCCTTGTTGCAACAGATCTCAATTACCATACATGTTCCACTTAACTACTGGTATTAATTTCCTTGTTAGGGGAATACCGATTTGTATTGTTCCTAGATGTTGCACATTGAGTAAAGTATAGCCTAATATTGAGTGCACTAGAGACAGAGTAGCAGGCAGAGTAGATTGCTCTATTGAATAAGCCTGACCGGCTTCATTATAATGTTTGTGGAGATGGTGCCCTCACCTTTTTGGTGGTCAACTAGTTTGACCTACTGACATCTCCTGAACTTAAATTCTAAAATAACTACTAGTACAGTCGACCTTCTCATTTACATACACCTTGGGTTGAAAGCAGTTCGTAATTGAGAAAATTCGTAAATGAAATGTTCGTAAGAACAGCGCCCTCAAGTTTGAAAATGCCAAGTTTTAGCCTATAACTAGGCCTGCCTACCAATATCTAGGCTTAATTTTGCCTTGAAGTGTTCATTAAACATTTATAGAAATTGTTGAAGAATCAATTAAATGTTAATGCAAGACAAACATATATTAAATATTGATTGATAGTAGGCTAAGGACATCGTTCCATGGATAGACCGACTTATCTTCCATGTCACTAATTATAGGCTGACTGTTCAACATACAGTGGTGGTTTAGCCAAGGTTTAGCTGGGCCTAGCAGCAGCTCTCTGCTAACTTTAGCTAGGCCTCTCTCCATAATTTGTAGCAAATTAGAAAACAAACATTGATATTAATTTGTACTAAATTTGTACTTATTTATTTAATTTGCAGGTAGTCAAAGTATTTTTGTATACAGGTAATATAAAAAAAGAAACTGTTCCTATTTTTTTCGACCTTCCTGATTTCCAAATATGTGGTTTTGGTACCTGTAGCGTTGAATGATGGGTAATTGCTGAACTCATCTTCTAAAAATAGAGCAGCTTGCTAATCGTTTTTTGACAGTGAAAAACAAATAATACAGATGCTTATTGAATATCCGAACAGTGATTTATTCTTAAAAGGATAAAAAGTTGATGTTACCATACATTTATACTCAGACTATCTGATTCAATTTACAAAGCATTTAGACCGCAGGTAACCATAACACAGTGTAGGTAGGCCCCCCTGGTATAGGCTGCCCAGCCTTGCCCTTAGCCTAGACAAGGTAAGCCTAGCAGCATACACTACCTGCCTGAATTTCGGCTAGTTTTGATTATTTTACATAATGTACTGGTTTGACTTTCAAAAGCCTAAAGTAGTATGATGTATTTATGGAATATACTGTATAACTAGTACTATAATGCATTTTTTAGTCAATTTGTAATTCGTTTTTCTTAAAATAAATAAAAATAGCAAAATTTAGATGAATAAATCTAGCGATGACGTCATCGGCCGAGCGTTCGTAAAATAGAAGGTTCGTAAATGAGAAGTTGGTAAATGGGAAGGTCAACTACTAGAATACGGTTTCATTTTTATAGAGAATATGGTACTTAAAGAAATCACTGGGGAATTAGTGAACTTGATTGGTGGTGTTGAATAGGCCAGCATTCCAAAAGCTCTTTATTCTCAGCTGGAGATCTCTATGTTCTGCAATTCTCATTTCAGTTTGCAATCTCCTTTGTTGCTTTCAATCCTTTGTGTCTGTTCACTCTACCATTGATAACCATTGTACTTACTACTGAAAACTTTTGTTTTTTCTATTTATATATTATTTTACCTTTAAATTACCAATTTCCTAATTCATAAATTTTCAATATTACACATCACCATTCTTTGCTTTCTGTTGTAAGTGAATTAACACAAACTGTTTATTAGGTATTACAGTATTTGATCATCATTATGTAAGTGTGTTTGCCAAGCATAGTAATATTTTAAAAAACTGGATAGATTGGTTGGCAATCAGCAATTTTTGAAAAACATGTTCTTAATTCCATAGTGCATTGCCAACCATTACCATATATTTTAGTTGATAAAATGGCAACCACACATAAAATCCTGCTTAAGGTATCAAATTTAAACCTAAGGAGCTTTCAAAAAACACCATACAAGTATTTTGATCTCCTTAGTAAAGAAATAATATAGTTTTTCTAAACAAAATGTGAGACTTTAATTTTATACTATTGCTGATCAACTGATAACAAATTCTACTAGAAAATTATTAACCCTTTCCAGCCGTATGGCGTCGCGACGACACCCTCTTTGACCATACTTTATAGCGAAGGGCGTCGTACATACGCCCTGTATAGATTTCATGATACAGTAATTATTTTATAGATAGGCTGCCCTCTATAGGATTTTTTGAGAGTGATGTAGGAGTATTTCTATAGAGGGCCTCCTGTATTCAGACCAAATAAAATGCCTGCGCCCAGTAAAAACCTGACATTTAGTGTAGATGATGTAATTTCCCAGATTTGGTACAGCCTCAGGCAATGGTAATGGGGCAGACTGGAAAGGGTTAAGGGTTCTTTCTCCTGTTAATTGCTGTTCTCCAGCCAGAAAAGACATGATGTAAATGGTTGGATTGAATCTTGAGAATGAAGCCCAGGTTTTTTTTTATTTATTTATTTTTTATTTTTTTTATATTTTAATGCCTTATTGTGATTATTGCTTATTTGTCTTCATCAGGTGGATTCATTAATTTTATTTCCAGAATTGTCTTAATCTGGTAATAAAACTTGAAAAAATGCCTTACTTTGAATAAACACCCCTTGAATAAAATGCCTCATTTGGAATAAATGTTTCCCCAAGGCATTCATTTTTTTCTCAAATAAACACTCTAAATGGAAACAATATCATTTGCAGCACTTTCTATTAATGTACTTCAGTAGAATTACTTTTTTTGTAACCTGGTTGTGTGATCAACAAGTCTTCATGATCACGCAATTGCACATTTTCATGGTAATTACGTGTTGTATTACACATTTACAGTGAAATTAAGGGGCCTTTATTTGAGTAAACAGTATATTTTACACAATCATAAATAAAGCCTCCCTTGAATAGATTCCCCCTCAATAACCCTCCTCAAAAATATACACCTGGGCATTTATTTGAATGGTAATTGTTAATTTTTATTTTGTTCAGGTGTATATACCACGTCCAAATGCAATGAGAATGCAGCAAAGAGCAGGTGGCCAGTCGGTTAATGCATACAATCCAGGACAGATAATGCAGACACAGCAACCACCATTCATACAACCAGTCATACCGCAACATGGTATGAACTTGCAAGTAAGTTCAACAAAGCTCACATTATAATTTTGTATACAAGTCAGTGGTGATGCCATCACTTTTATTTGCACTGAATTTTCCTATTCCCGACTGATGACTAACAATAATTATAATATGTTGGTCTAATATTAGCGCTTCATGCCTAAAGCTTGTAAGCGCTTCACATTATTAGCCCTGTCATTGGATCAAACGCGTATGGAACACATACTCAGCTCCCTGGGCGAGAATTCCATAATATTGCAGCTAGTAAGCAGCGCAGTTAGGCTTGAATCTACTAGGAACCCTCTTGTACTCCTTGGTGGAGAGAGGCAAATGTAGGTAGTGTCTTGCCTAAGGATGCAGGCAAAGGACTCCCGTTCCCGCGATCAAAAGTCCATTGCCTTACATGCTGAGCCATATGCCCCCAAACCACTTATCAATATTTTGCATCCCTTGTGCCAAAAAGCTCAAAGCTAGACCATCCTAGGCATGGCCTAGAAATGCATATTGGTTATGAGATAAGAAGGTGATTAACTTTAACAACTGAAGAAAAAAGGCAACACTGAAGTGATTCATAATAATGTTTAGAATACATTTTAATCTCTACCAGGAGATTAGGCCTACCTACGAACCCCTAATAAACTTCATTAAACACAATCAATTTATTCATTTTCTCCGTATCGCAAAGAGTGTCAGTGCATGTACTACTTGGTACCGCTAAGGAATCATTATAATATGTGCAGCGTAATTAGCAATAAATGCACCCATCACTGATGAATTTATGATATAGGGCCTATAGCCAGCGCTAAACAGCAGCTTAGCTCAGTTGGCTAATCTGGTGGTAGCCAGTGTGTGTGCTCTGAACCGTGGCGATATCTATGTACCCAGTTCAATTCCCATTACTGCCTCATGTGTTTCAGCTGGAGGGCTGAAATATGAGTTACAATAGCGCATGCGTTTAAGCCGTTGGTCGCGTTTGAATTTTATGGCCCATGTGCACGTTAAAGAATGCTGTACACTCTTTGGAGAATAGTAGGAGATTTTCTCCTGGTGAACTGCATAATCACCACCAGAAGGACCCCACTTGAAATAAATCTTTTTACACCGAATACATCCAATCCAATATACAACAACCAGCAGTTTGGTTATAAAAGGCCATGGAAAAGGTGATGAACTTCACAACTGACTTCAAAAACAATTTTAGACAGTAATTTTGTACACTATAGAAAATAGAAGCCTTGGGAATCATAATTTCCTTCAAGAATGGCCTTCAGCCCTGCAGGCTTCAAGCAATTTTTTCATCAAATAATGGCTCATTTGGCTTCTATTTCCTATCGTGTACTCAAAACCTGACTATCTATAATTGCTTTCCAGGACAGATAATGCAGACACAGCAACCACCATTCATACAACCAGTCATACCGCAACATGGTATGAACTTGCAAGTAAGTTCAATAAAGCTCACATTATAATTTTGTATACAAGTCAGTGGTGATGCCATCACTTTTATTTGCACTGAATTTTCCTATTCCCGACTGATGACTAACAATAATTATAATATGTTGGTCTAATATTAGCGCTTCATGCCTAAAGCTTGTAAGCGCTTCACATTATTAGCCCTGTCATTGGATCAAACGCGTATGGAACACATACTCAGCTCCCTGGGCGAGAATTCCATAATATTGCAGCTAGTAAGCAGCGCAGTTAGGCTTGAATCTACTAGGAACCCTCTTGTACTCCTTGGTGGAGAGAGGCAAATGTAGGTAGTGTCTTGCCTAAGGATGCAGGCAAAGGACTCCCGTTCCCACGATCAAAAGTCCATTGCCTTACATGCTGAGCCATATGCCCCCAAACCACTTATCAATATTTTGCATCCCTTGTGCCAAAAAGCTCAAAGCTAGACCATCCTAGGCATGGCCTAGAAATGCATATTGGTTATGAGATAAGAAGGTGATTAACTTTAACAACTGAAGAAAAAAGGCAACACTGAAGTGATTCATAATAATGTTTAGAATACATTTTAATCTCTACCAGGAGATTAGGCCTACCTACGAACCCCTAATAAACATCATTAAACACAATCAATTTATTCATTTTCTCCGTATCGCAAAGAGTGTCAGTGCATGTACTACTTGGTAACGCTAAGGAATCATTATAATATGTGCAGCGTAATTAGCAATAAATGCACCCATCACTGATGAATTTATGATATAGGGCCTATAGCCAGCGCTAAACAGCAGCTTAGCTCAGTTGGCTAATCTGGTGGTAGCCAGTGTGTGTGCTCTGAACCGTGGCGATATCTATGTACCCAGTTCAATTCCCATTACTGCCTCATGTGTTTCAGCTGGAGGGCTGAAATATGAGTTTCAATAGCGCATGTGTTTCGGATAAGGCGTTTAAGCCGTTGGTCGCGTTTGAATTTTATGGCCCATGTGCACGTTAAAGAATGCTGTACGCTCTTTGGAGAATAGTAGGAGATTTTCTCCTGGTGAACTGCATAATCGCCACCAGAAGGACCCCACTTGAAATAAATCTTCTTCTAGACTTCCGTAGGCTCTCCTTGGTGTTTACACCGAATACATCCAATCCAATATACAACAACCAACATTTTGGTTATAAAAGGCCATGGAAAAGGTGATGAACTTCACAACTGACTTAAAAAACAATTTTAGACAGTAATTTTGTACACTATAGAAAATAGAAGCCTTGGGAATCATTATTTCCTTCAAGAATGGCCTTCAGCCCTGCAGGCTTCAGGCAATTTTTTCATCAAATAATGGCTCATTTGGCTTCTATTTCCTATCGTGTACTCAAAACCTGACTATCTATAATTGCTTGTTGGTTCAACATTTTGTGTGCTATTAGGATGAATTTTGACCAATAACTACCAGTTGTTTGGTTGGTTTACCTACCAAACCAATACGAACCAATATTTTCGTAACGGGGTCCGGTATACCAAAAGTCATGTCATATTCCTGTTCTACAGCCAAAAGTTAGTCTAGATATCAATTTTCAGTTAATTATCTTTATTCTATTTGAAGATATGGCTAATTGAAAATGCAACTTTACAAATATGTCATAATTGAGAGCTAAAAAGGGGTATGACCCTAAAATTTCAAATGGCTGTAACTTCTAAACGACTTGGAATTAGCAAGTCAAATTTTGGGTTTGTTCGTCAGATATGTTGGTGCACATTATATCCGAGTTTCAAGAAAATCTGATACGGTACCCAGCCATGATTTTCTGAAAATTTGTTGAGTTGGCACGGAATGACCCATGTATTATACTGTCTTATGATTAGAAGCCTAATATTGTTTATCTTGAAATGTTTTTATGTGAAGCTTGTTCATAAGGTAAGAAATTGTCCCCAGGGCTAGAAAAGTTGCACAACATTGTTCTAAGTGGTATAGTCATGATTATATTTGAGCCCTGGTTTTTTTGTTAGTAATCTTATGCTGAAGTTTATACTTTCTTCCAGTACCACCAACGAACGTTTTCACCGCAGTTCCAACAAACAATGACGTATACACAGCAACCAACTCAACAGTATTATGCTGGGACTCCTAATATACAGCAAGGTATTTTTAAATAATTTTAACTCATCTTGATTTCCTGAGTTAAATGTGAAGAGATGAATAATATATTTCCTTAAAAAATTATTGGTTTGTCCCATGCAATATTTGATTCCCTGTTTGAAATATGCATTTTTATTTCTATAGGGTTTTCATTTGACCTAAAAATTTATTAGAATGCATTGTGATATTTTGTGTGCTTGAAAAGTAAATAGGTAAATATTTGTAAGCGGGATCAGCAATGAGAAAATAATGTAAAACATGTAAATATATAATGCCAATGTTTTGTTTATATAGCTCCTTACATACCAAACCAATCACTAACGCAAACCTCAGCTCAGTTACCAATGTACACACAGCAAGCACAACCTAGACAGCAGCAGCAGCAACCACAAACTTATTCCAAGCCCTCAAGACCTAGGAGAGTAATTACTATAGTGGATCCAGCAACTAATAAAGACATAACTGAATCAATTGTTGGTGAGAGTTCTAATATTTCACCACAGCAAGGTCTTTCTGCAACATCTTCAACACCACCAATGGTGAGTTGTTTCACCAGTTTGCATATTAATTTAACAAGTCAATATTTATTTTTAGCTTTGATAATTCTTCTGTTTACTGTGTTTCAGAAGAGGGAGTAAAGTACAAACTCAAGAAAGATAGTATCTCCAACCTTGGTCATTATTTTCGCCATTATTACTATTATTCTGTGTCCTTGGTAGCATGTATGTATATGTGGTGCTTTCCATACTGAATTGAATTGTTTAATTTGATTTTGTAGAATACAGCAACACCACCTCTACAGCTTGCTTCAGTTGATTCAAACCAAGCTATACAGGCACAGTTCGCGGCTGAAGTTGCTCGTCTAGCTATGGCCCCCGAAGAGGAGGAAAAGAGAGAAGAAATTCAACCACCAGTTGTAGTTTCTCAACAAAAGACTATACTGCCAAGACAGGAGCAGCAGCCTAAAATATTGAAGCCAACTGCAACAGAACCTGTAGCTCCCCCTGATGCTAGCCAACCTGCAGCTCAGCCAGTATCTCTAGCAAATGTGGATAAACCAGCACCAACCACTGAACCACCACAAAAAATCACTGTTGAGCAAACTCAGTCTGAGGACTTTAAAGACAAACCTAAACAAGCTGAAGAGGAAACAAGCAACCTGGCAGAAAGCGTAACTAAGCCGGTCACTGCAATCCAAGAATCAGACAGTGCAGTAGAAATTGTCCATCAAGACACAGCGACTGAAAGTGTAGCTTCTGTTGTTCCACCTGCAGAGGATCAACAGGAATCCCTTCAACCAACTGCAGACACAGATGTTACAGATAATTCACAAGGTAAGCTTCAGTGTGGTGTGTGACACTAATCAATAGGGAGCTTTCGATCGAGAACATAGAACAAATTCAGTCATCTGCCACTGTCACTGTCGCGTGCATTCTATGTTGTATTTTAAATCAATTTCAATGTTTTACGACTTGACGCAAAGACTGAGAAACCAATACAGTACAGTCTTTGTCTGGCCTGAACGTAGATTCAGCTAACAACCGTTTCATGTGCATATGAATTAACACGACATTATGTTCTACGTTTTCACAAATCAAAAGCTAATGTCTAGATGCATCAACTCTGGCATCACTAGGTGATCATGGTAAGGTCTGAAAGCTTGGAATCCAATTGTCCAGAAATAGTACTATACGATTTCGTTATTTGCGTAGGCCTATCCATCTCATGCAAAAAACGGGTCATCTGCTAGGTAAACAAAACAGATGTTTTGGTGTTAAACACATTGTATTGTTGTCTATAACATTGCATGATGGAATAAAATATTTGGAGGGAAATTTAAGATAATTTATCAGAGAAATTGTAAGTGCTGTGGAAAGATGTGGCCAAACATTTAGTTTCATCAACTGTCACACAAAAATTTGATCACTCTACACTTAACATTTAGGTGCATTAGTTTAGGTATCACTGCGACAATATTATTTTCTAGTGCATCTATGTGGTGCCATCAAGTTGTAGGTGCACCAATTGTGACTTCGTGTGACCACACTAAGCATCACTAGGCAAAAGTCTAGGGGCATCAGTCTTGGTATCACTCTTAGACATTATTAGTGTTTTGCATTCATTTTGTTGTTTTATTGTTTATATAGTAAGTAAGAAGAAGAATCAGAAGCAGCGTTTTCAAGAGTTAGACAAAAAATCAGCAAAGGATGATGACATGTTCTCTGCATATAGAACTGAGGAACCTCAAAAGGTAAAGTTAACAAACTTCTTTAACACCCATAGAGTACAGTGAGCTGTTATGCTCTTCTCTCACTTCAAAAAAATTACTTTCTAAAAAATGTTTTGCCATGAAATTCCAATAAAGAGCACTATAAATGCCAACAATATTATTACATGAACTTAGCATCTACTCCTCCCGGCTCGTGTATTTTAAGGTAGCTTTTTCTTAACTCTTGCTGGCAGTAGTTATGGTTATGCTTTTAGACCACAGTATTAGGGATTGGCATCAAAATAATGTTAATTGGATAGGCAAATTTTTTTTTTATTTTGGATCTGACAACCTCGTAGCGGCGTCAGATTACAGTGGGGCCCAGGCCTGCCCGACGGAAATTCCCCTCCCCCAGGTGGTGCTACTGCTGATCACTGGCATTCATAAGTGCATCGATATAAATGTGCATAACACCACATGGCACGGATAGCAAGTAACACAGGGTACGGATATGTGAAGTATACATAATCGTTGCATGGACATGCAGTAATACACAGATGAATTCTGATGGAAGATGTGTCTTGGCCGCAGATGTACAATGGGTATAAATTGACACTTGGCATAGGTGCACCGTGGACATAGACCTGGCATTCACATACACTGGGCGTGCGTAGATGTACCTCGTCCATAGATGCACATCATTCATAAATGTATAGTACAAATGTGTTGGATGTATCTTATGGTTGGTGTTCGAACAAAATTTCTAGCATAATACATTTTATCTTAAATACTTTTTTTTTTAATGGTAGGAAAGTGCAAGTATAAGCGAAGAAACACAGTCTGCAACAATTGAAGAAGTACAAGAAACAACATTGACAAATTCTGAAAATGAAATTCAACCAATCATTGATGACCACAAAATTGCTACAGTTGAAGATGACAAGTCCAGTGAAGATCAAATTGTGAATACAACTGAAGATAGAACTATAACAGAATCAAGTATATCATCAGTAAATGACAATACTGTAGATGAAAATTGTCAGTTAATAGAAAAACCAACAGAAAATCAAGTGAAGGAAACTGAAATTATAGAAAGTGTAACAGATTCATCACCTCAAGGTGGACTTAATACACAACATGAAGTGTCAAATACAGAAAAGGAAGAGCTTGAAAATGAAGAAAAGGAAAATACTGCTCCCAAAACAAAAACTGTTACGGAGAATTCAGAATTAAATGAAGACACAAAGCCTGTTGTCAAAGATAATAAAATAGAACTTAAGTACAAATATAGGGAAGGTGAGATGCATAGTATTTAAGTAATATAGGTCTCCCTCTAATTTAAGACCATCAATTAAAGACCACCTCCAATTAAGGACCACCTTTATATGGTCCCAAATTGACAAATGTCTTATAATTATTATTCAAATTAGAGACTAAAGCTGCTAAAAATCATTGAAACTTCAGTCCCAAAAGTGGTCTTTAAGTGGAGGGAGACCTGTAATTATAAGTGCATGGAGATTGGTGTGTGTCTCTGTTGCTTGCATATTAATTTAAATCCCCATTCTTTCCATATTTTCACAAAAAAGTTTAGCAAAAATACATGTGCATTACTCTCATTATTATCAACCAGATCATTTATAGACACCAATTACCGGATGAAAATATGCAAGGATAAGAAGGCAGTTTCATAATCATGTATAGTGTGCTGCTTTGTAAAGACTTGTAACAAGTTCACATGTACACAAAATGATAATACAAGTTCTATACCCTGAGATAAGTTATTCATATTGCAAGTGCAAATACAATCCATGGCAAATCTAGGAAGAATATGAACTTAACATAATTGGGGGCACTAGTTGCCTAGGCTTAACTCTGTTTCCTCTCATGCTTGCCATTGTTTGATGTAATTTCTATGTAAAGAGGGGGAAATTTGCTTTTATGCGAAACAAACCTTGTCATAACTTGTTACTTGTTGCATGTTAGTGTCATTATCAATTACCATAGTAAAAATACATTTATTGCTTTTTATAGACCAGTGGAGCCCTATCAACTTGGAGGGCAAGAGGCAATATGACCGTGAATTCCTGATGCAGTTCAAGGATAATTGCATCGATCGACCTGATGGGCTTCCAAAGATTCCAGAAGTAGTACTGGATACTGTGAGTAACTTTCATTCTTATCCACATCAAAATGTCAGACCTTTGGGGGACATTTGAAAAATTTTTACTGGTAAATTTGTTAATGTAAAGCCAGCTAAGCATGCGCAACATGAGGTATTGCCTTAAGTGAAGTTCAGTGGCTTAAAAAAACAATACAAATCATAGGCAAGGCCTGGACTAGAATGATGTTCATTTATTGAAAGAAGGCCAGCCTAGGCTACTTAGGCCTAATAAGTGCTTTTTTTTATTCGACAAACAGAATTTTTACTGGTTTACAGTCAAATTTAACTGTTAAAATTGATGGCTAAAACATGTGCAATTCTTGTGCTGTCGGCAACATAACACAACAAACTTGTATTTTGTTTGCATGTTATCATCTAAATGTATCGGAGGAAATGTCCCCGAAGGGAAGGTCGATTTCCCAGACGACAGCATAAGTGGTGCGAACTAGCTAGTAATCACATCCTTCACAGAAATCTTCTTAAAGATCATATATTCAAGAATCTGAAAATTCTTCTAATTTGAATTAAAGTTTTTACATGTTTTGACTCCTGACGATCATTGAAAGCATACTCCTAGCTTCTACAATTGCTTAATTGAATTTTTATTTATCTCTGATCATTTTTGCTTTTGTTTAAATGATTGTACACACATTTATTGAATAATGACATCCTTGTTGGATTTTTGCAGGCAAATATAGGTTCAGCACTTCGTTTGGATACCAAGTCTAATAAACAATTCGATTTCATGCCAGGGTTTATGAAGTCTCCAAGATCAATGGTAAAGCTTTTTTGTCTCTTTTAAACATATCCCATCTATCATGAGTAAAACGATAAGTTTTTGATGGGGTGTTCGATCAGAAAAGAACTTGTGAATGGTTAATAAAATACAGTTTTTTACATTTTATAAACTGGGAGAAAAGTGGCATAACCATCCATCTACCCCCAGTTTTTAATTATCCAAAGATTTATATCTTATTAACCGTTCCCAAGTTTTTTTGTCAAATACGCTGTCAGTGTCTCTAAAAGTCAGTTGTACAACATAGCAATAGTTTTTTCACCTCCTGGAGCCCGGCTTTAAAAAGCCCAATTGACCTTTCCAGATTGTCAGTCAAACTTAACTGGCAGGCATATGCACGCGTGTCTAACGAGCACATATGTTGTCCCACTAATGCGCACGTTTGCATATATGTTGCAAAGATAAGCCAAACCAGTTACTCGTTGGCAAAAATCAATTATTAGTTATTAATACAGAGTAAAAGATGAAAAAGGGAGCTATAAAATGGTTAAATTATTTAAATGCGACATTTTCTTAAGTTACAACCGTTTAAACATACAGCTGTTCAAAGAACAATATTTGGGAAATCATCCTTCAAAGTTTATTATTTCAGGCATTTCTCAGGCACAAACTATCACCAAATTGTTAAAAGTTGTTGTTTTAACATTGAAAATGGGGAGAATAACAGCATATCATGATGTATAGATATACGAAAGTTAGTTTAGTGCAATAAAATAGATTTTAAAAATGTTGACATTTCAGCATGTTTTGGCCATCATTATCTCCGAAACACGATTTACGATGAGTGACTGGTTTTACTTGTCTTTGCCACATATATGTTTTACATTTCCGTTTTGTCTGACCTTAGCAACAATATCCAAGAGGCAGGGCTTTCCAGAAAGGTGCATATTATGTTCTGATTGAGACAATTCAGTTTTCCCTGATTTACTTTCCACATGGGTTTTGTTGCAGAAATCTTTAACCATCCAATTCAAGTGTCTATGCAAGGAATTTAGAAACATTTCAAATGATTGTTTTTGTTGATTTTAAAGTAAAAATATTGATTGCTGAATAATAAATAAATGAAAGAATAGATAAATGGAATCAATAAATATTTTTGCACAGGGTCAGCCAATGAACTACAATGCAAGGAACTCTGGCAAAGGACGTGCACCACAATATAATCCGAAGAAAGTGATAAATTCTCTGTCCTCTGACAAGGAGCTAAGGAAATCTGAAAATGCATGGAAACCAACAGTAGGAGCTGCATCTACTAAACCAGATGAGGAATTGCAAACCCAGGTATGATAACTCTAATGCACGCAGAGTGCATTATAATGCATGCATTTGTGGAGTGCATATTATCTTTTATTTAATTCAGTAATGAAATACAAAAGCTAGACATACCATATTTTGGTTCCCCACAATTTGTTAGCTTTATATTTGTTTCTAAAAAAGAATATTGTCCTGGGGATATAATTAAGGGCTGCTATCTTTATTGTATATAGCAATCATGTTATTTATTGATATAATTCATTTGAACGTACACTTTTGTATCAGTGGCAAACGTCACTTTGATGGTGTGTTCAGAAACTACAAATACTAAAACTTAAGAAATTGATTACAATACACAACCATCAATTTAACAAAAACATAAAACCAATATAAAGATGGTCATAAAACAAAAGCTAGGTAAAAGGAAAACAAAAATATTACTGCTCATGCAGCTACCTTGTTTCATATTAAACAAGATTTTGATGTTAACACTGTATAGCATATTTAAATAAATTCATAATAGGCAGCAACAGTGCTCAAATTAGGAACACGATGCCAGCAACGCATTAAACATTGTAGCCTATCATGTCACTGACTTTGTTAGTTGATCAGAATGCTTCTCCAACAATGCAGCATGTCTAGGCCTTACAAATGATCATTGTTGAGGCACTTGCATTACTATCACAGAGCATCTATAAAATCCTTAAGAAATTCATGTTGATTTTTGTCTTTATTTCCAGGATGTTAACAGGAAATTTACTGGTATTTTGAACAAGTTAACGCCGCAGAATTTTCAGAAACTGACAAACCAAGCTCTAGAGTTGCAGATTAACACAGAGGAACGCCTTAAAGGAGTTATTGACCTTGTCTTTGAGAAGGTATAATCATTCAATTTTGCATTCAAGACGCATGTGTAATCATCTTGAAAACTTGGATTTAATAACCTTAAAATTCCAGGATCTCTATTTATGAATTTCTGTGCTCTCTTTTTATAATCAGATAGGTACAATGAAATATTAAAATTTGAATGCTAAGTGCATTGAAATACATGAAAATGAAACACAGACAATAATTGGCTAACAAGTGATCACATAAAAAAAAAAGTACATGCAAACTTCAAGAATTTAACTAAATAGAGTATTTATGGAAAATGTTGCATTGCATAAGTTTTGAAATTGAATTGTTTTTTTCTTGTAGGCTTTAAGTGAACCAAACTTCAGTGTTGCCTATGCCCACATGTGCCGAATGCTGTCACAGGTACAGTACTTTGACTTTTTCTGCTGTATTTAGCAGGCTTGTTTCTCTTCATATAATCAGTAGTCATCCATTAGAACTTTGTGATGTGACTATCGAAGCTCATAATAATGATTTGAGTTTATGTAAAGAACTTTGATATTTATAAAGTTAAAACATAACTTTCTGCCTTGACATCAATTCAATTATTATTCAGCTTTATCATCATATTTGCTAAATTACTACTGCAGTGCAAATACAACGTAGGATAGGATAGGAGTATTATTTTTATGTATGAATCATACCTCACAATGCGAAGCTGAGGGAGGGAATTCACTGTTTAGCTAAATAAAACCATGTTGTATTTGTTTCACTATTTCCATAAATATGAAACGGCAAACCATCTATCTACATTAGCCATTTCGACATGCAAGAGTAAAATCACACAGTTGTATACAGTTCGCATACTTTTTCCCCCGCATACACACAAATTCAGTATGTGCAGAGAAGAAGTAAAAAGAGCATGGAAGTAGAAAAAAAAGACCACATCGTTTATCAGGTGGCATTGGCCAATAAAACGTTACTACTTAATTAATATTTATGAGGTATATTAAGTAATTGATAATTTAAAAAGAAAGTAAATAATGCTACAATAGAGCACTTGCAAAACTATTTGCTGAAAAAGAAACAGAATTTATATATAAATGAATAAAGAAACACCCAAATATACCTATTTAACTGACTCGTGAGGAAATTTGTAAAGGTCTTGGAACTTATTAATTTCAACTGATGGGGAATTCTAAAGACATTGACACAAACGTGATGAACTCTCAAAATAATTGATTGTAAAGATAGTAATTTTCTTTTATAAAGTTCTTGGAAATGACGAGAAAACTTACTAGAATTGTGGCGCAGCCAAAAATTATGATTAATAATTTGTTTTAATTGCTGATCCAAGAATATAGATGCATGTAACATAACTTTTTTTCCAGTTTTCAGCCACTGGATTAGTTAAACTTGATATTTCCATGTTGTGTTTAAATTTAGATAGAAGTACCTATTGCTGATAAACCAGGACAACTAGTACAGTTCCGCAAATTGTTACTAAATCGATGTCAGAGAGAGTTTGAAAGTGAATCTCAAGATGAGAGTCTGTTGAAGGAGAAGAGGAAAGAAATAGAAAAACTACCGGTAAGTTCATCAATACAGTGTACAATAGTTACTTTCCTAATCTAAAAATTTATCCTAAAATTTTTTTATCTTTAAAAGCAACTGCCCTGGGATGTAATATAAAAGCTTTGTTTAGGCTTTATTTTATTTTATTTACTTCTGGAGCAGCAGTGGTGCATTCAGCTTAAATTACAAAAATATAAAAATTAACCAAAGAAGGAGCACACTTCAACACAATCCTTGATAAAATATGCAAATAAACACAGAAAGACCGATTTATACGCTTTTATACATGCATGAACTTTTATGACCAAATTATAGTGCCATCATGGATATAACCTACATCAGCTTATGTACAGGTGAGCAAATATAGTAATTTACAGTAGTTGTTTTGCAATATCCATATCAAGGGAGGGGGTAACAGAGAACAGTATTGTTGTACGTTTGTGAAACTGCTGACAGTTGAGAACAAGCCTTAAAGCAATAGGTGACTGAAGGGGGAAAAAAATGAAAGAAATTAAAGACGAAAAATTCCATTAAACTACAACAAAGATAAACAAACATAATGAACATTTTTTATTGTGAAACACAATAGTAATGTTTGGATTATTGGAAGATTTTTTTTAATCCTTTTGTTTTTTCGCTATTCAAAAAATAAATGCCGTATTGACCTAAAACAAAAGCTGGAGTGATAGAGAGATTTTGAAGCAGAGAAAACATACGGTTCCCAACAAACACCACAGGAGGTTAACTTTAGTCGCCTCCTGTTGAATAAGGGTAAAAATATTCACTCTCAGTAGAATATATTGTTCTTCCCTGTTTGTAGAGTAGATTGTTTTATGTTTTAGAATTTAAAATGTACAATTTTATTTATTGTTTTATTTTTTGATTGAATAAAGGAAAAAGAAAGAGAGGTCGAAAAGGAGTTATTTGAATTGGCGGTAATTGCAGCTAAGCGACGGTCACTTGGGAACATTAAATTTATTGGGGAACTGTTTAAAATCAAGATGTTAACGGAACACATTATGCATAGCTGTATCATGCAATTGCTGAAGGCTGCTGATGATGAGTCTTTGGAATGCATGAGCAAATTATTAAGCACCATTGGAAAGGAGCTGGATCATGATAAAGCAAGGGTAATTGTCCTTTTTAACTTTATACTCTTATACTTTAATATCACTATTATTATTTTTATATGTTTACATTATAGTAATGATATTTTTAAGTTTACCACTGGTTAATTGCTTGTTTAATTTTAAATATATTTTTATATTTTGTGTCTTGCAAGACGGTGCTTCTGTAATTCAAAACTACTTTAATATAAAAATGTTAAAACATTGCTTTGGCTTTGAGTAACTAAGTAAATAGTCCATTTGTCTAGTGTGCAGTATGGCCCAATTGCATGTTTAAGAACGCAGTATGCTATTTGGAAAAGAATAGTGAATGGTCTTCCATTGTACTTGCCCAATCACCACCAGAAGGAACCCACTGGTAATAAGCTCAAATTACAACTGCTGTGCCAACAGCTCCAACATAAACATATGTGTGGTTCTGATGACATTTTTTCTTGCAGACGTTTTTATTTAAAAACCATCTAAATTCAGTATTTTTAATTTTTTCGTAGTTCCGAATGGATCAGTACTTCACACAAGTGGATAAGATAGTTAAAAGTAGAAAGAATAACAATCGCATACGATTCATGTTGCGAGATGTCCTTGAGCTTCGTGAGGTAAGTGTTTTGTGTATTAGAATAAGTCCTTTTACAAGATGTTGATGTCTTTGAAATATGTGAAGGTGTGTATATGCCATTGTTGAGTATTACACTATCCACTGAATTTCTCTAATAGAAGTGTTGAATTTTACACAAAAAAAAAATGAAATATCTTGTATGAGAAGTTACAATAAACAAAACCGAAATTCAATAAAGGGTCGTTTTCACAAGTGTATAAACAGTACACTTTTTCGGTACCCCTCCGAAAGTGTAAAAAAAAAAAAAATGTTTGTAAAGTCAAGTAAAGCAATGTACTTGGTTGCTTAAAAATGAATATTATATTATATTTTACATATTGCATGTTATTTTGTAATTTTTATGCATATGTTAAGGTGTACAGATTTGTCTACCACCTCTCCCCAACCCCCACCCCCGCATATTGTTTGTACACTTGTGAAAATGTTGATAATGTTGAACGACCCGTAAATATAAGTATTATTTATTAAGAATTGTACTGGAAGTTTCTGTTCATAATATAAGTTAATAATAATACTGTATTTTCATTAACATTTTATTTTTTTTTTTAGAACAATTGGGTGCCAAGAAGGGAAGATAACAAACCAAAAACTATTGACCAGATTCACCAAGAAGCGCGGGAAGAAGAAGTAATGAAAAAGGTAGAAGCTGTACAGGCTCAAGCTGCCAGGAAAGCAAACAGAGGTAAAGGTTTTATAGCACATGTCATTAAGTTGAAGGCTTTTTTCCTGGTCATTGAATCAAACACCTGTAAAACACATACTCCTTGGTGGCGAAATCATTATATTGTAGCTTGTAATCGGTGCATTTAAAAATGAGCTTACCAGTTGACCATTTTACTCATGAGTGGAGAAAGACAACACACACCTGTAGGTGACTTACCCAACAACAAAAGTGAAATGCACAGCAAGGGCTCAAACCTCTTGACCTAAAGATTGAGATCCTGAATCACAACCACTGCACCAATTGCTCCCCATACGTATGTTTTGTGCATTTTAATGTAGTTTCCATTTAATACTTGTACAGGTCGCAATGACCGAGGGGGATTAACTCAAATCGAAGATGGAGAATGGAATGTCGTTGCTCAACGTAGTGGGGGACGACCTCAGCAGGTTGATCCTAACAAATTCAAAGTAACAAAGGTAAACATTAAACTCAAAATCGTTTGTGTGATTATTTTGTTGTCAATTTTTTTTTGTAATTTTCAGGTTTTCACTTGATTGAATTTTCAATCCAGTATGATTAAAATTTTGTTGAAGCCGACTGATCGCCAGATTGTGTCTAGGCTTTATAGAATCATCTGAAAGGTCAAATTCCCAAGGTCAAATTGCCATGTGGAATTTGGAACTACTATATACTCCAGGTCCACTGTCATTGGATCCAATCCACAAGCTACATCTTTTTAAATAAATGATAGAATCAAGTGCAAAAACAGCCAACAATTTTCAGTTACTATCTCGGCCAATTTTTTAAAGCCCTTTAGTTTTCTTAACCAGTACCAGTTTTTTCATGTTTTTTTTTTTAAATAATTTTCTTTTCAAAAATATCTTTTAAAAAAACATTTTCATTAAAATCCAACTGGATGTGTAAAATTTATTGTATTTCTGCAATTTTAGCCGCCTGTTGATGACAATGTGCAATTGGGACCTGGTGGTAGACCAGGTTCTTTTGGTGGTTGGGGGCGTGGAGCAAGTGGGGGTGCTAAGCAGTCAAGTAGTTCTCAAGAAAGGCCTTCAAGTCCTGCTACTAACAGATTCTCTGCACTATCCGATGACAGGCGCCTGCCAACTGGGGGAAGGTATGTTGAGTAGTTAAAACAAGTACAACACTATTGAGTGTATTGTTTGAAGGATTGCATGGCGAAGTAATACTATATACAGTAGAAACCCTCATTTACGAACCCCGATTTAACGAATTCCCGATTTTACGAACGTAATATAAAGGTGATGACGTCATAAAAATTGAAGCGAAAGATTTAAAAAAAAAAAAATCCGCTCGAATTGTAACTGTTATTAGCATGCATACAACACAACACACCATACTATACAGTACTATGTAATTCTCAAGTGAAGGAGGCCCTCTAACGGGCCTCTTCAAAGTCAGTGTTTTTATGGCTTCACACATGTGCATCAACAAATTTTACTTTTCTTTCAAACATCGTTTTCAGCTTTAAAATTCAACATAGTGCTTGATTGTTTTATTGAATAATCAATATATATATATAATAAACAAGTATCTATGGAAGTTGTGTTGGAGTAAAATCCACAATCTAGGTATTTAAGAAGGTAAAAATGTCCGATAAAAACAAATTTGTGTAGGGCCTAGAGTGGGATCAGAATGCTTAGAAGCTGCCTACTGTAGGCCTAGGCCCCCTCAGACTTAGCTGCGTAAGCCTGTAGGCCTAGCCTAGGCCAGTGTAAGTAGTACCAGTGCAAATATATAGGAATTTGGGTCAACCCCGATTTTACGAATACCCAAATTTATGAACAGCTCTGGGCCCGTGCCGTATGTAAATGAGGGGTTCTACTGTACTAATGCTTGCGGTACACCACGTAGGTAGTTCCGAAAAGAACTGTTGTTGTTGGTTGACAATATCTCGACGTTTTGATTGAGTTGCATCAATAGTCTTCAGGAGCATAATATCTGCAGAAGATTAAAACATGACTTAGCATGGGAACATGTATTCATTTTCAATACTTGCACTTCAAAAAATGTGCATTGCTTGCTGTGCTATTGATAAGGTGGTAGTCATTGAATGCCTTGGCTATGAGAAGCTTTTCCATTTTTTTATACCCTAAACATAACAAATTTGTCAAGAGGGGTTGTAAATATTTATCTTGTCATTGTAAAAACAAAGACCAGTCACATTCTTTAATTATTTTGTAGAAGTATGACTTCCAGTCGCGACCGTGACAGGGACCGAAGTGGTCGAGGTTCACAGACAAAGCGAGGGTCAAGAGAAAGAGATGATCGACAAGGCCGTGATAGAGATAGACAAGCAGCTATTGATCAGGTCAGGAGGATATCAGCATCGCAAGAACGCATTAGAGACAGAGGTATACTTATTAACATAACTATTAATTTATATTGGTGGAGTATGTAAAATATTGGGCTAGCAAAGAGTAGGTGTAAAAAAATTTAACACAAGTGCTATGTCTACCTTGTTTATGTGGAGCTTTCCGTAAACAAACTCCAAATCCAGATTCTCTCTTGTGTCTACAGCAAAGTTAATTGAATGTACGTATATACAAATTTAGGTTAAGTTATTTGACATGCAGTATGTTATAGAATGCATTAAATTGTTACTTTTTTTGTAACAGTTCAAGTCAAGGTAGTAGAGCCACCTCCAGCACAGCCAGCAAGTGAGGAACTACCAGACCCTGAAATGAAGAAGAAATCCAAATCAACTCTTGAAGAATATATGCACCTTAAAGACAAAAAGGTAAAATAAAATTATGTTGCATTTTTATTATAAACCTCTAGATATTGTTTTTCTTTAGTTATTTTATTTTAATTTATTTTATATTTTATTTAATTCCAGGCAAAATCAATACAAAATACAATAAAAATTCAGACGACAAAAACAAAAGCCTGATAATTACCTTAATGCGAACCTAATCACTATTTAAAAGGTTCTCCAGTATATTGGCTGTACTTTTATTTGTGCTTGCTTAAAGAACAATATATTTCAATTTATTTCATGTTTCATGTTACAATAATATTAAACCACCAAATATATTTTTTAATTAGATATTTGTTGCTATTTGATTTGTGAATGTTTTTTGCCAATCAGTTGTTGTCACAATAGCATTAGACCCTCTAGGATCTAAATAAGTTAAAAGCTTTTTCAACTGTGGTTTACAATTACTGATGTAAAATGAAGCTTTACAAATTCAGATAGAGTGCAAAGTCCAGGAAATCCTCAGCTGTCTTAACTAAGGACCAAATTACTCCAAATTATGTATGCATAGACTGTAGGATTCATGGGTTTAGTGCTAACTCAGCATTTTGCATCTGTGACTACATCTTTTCTCATTACTCTCTTATTTTTATTGTTCACTGTGTAGGAAGCCATTCAATGTGTGAAAGAACTTGAGAGTCCAAGTAAAATGCACCTGTTTGTTCATGTTGCCATTGAGGAAACTCTTGAGCGAACAGACCAAGCAAGGAAAGATGCTGGGGAGCTATTAAATGAATTAGTTAATGGCAAACTCATCACTACTGCGAGCTATAACAAAGGGTGAGTTGGTACCAGTCCAAAATGGCTTACCTGATACTTTTTCTCTATTTGTCAGCATTGATCCACCTTTATTTGAAAAGAAATATAAATGCAACATCCATTGGAAGTAGCATCAGGAAATTATAATTTTCAAGCTATCAAAATTTCTCTGTAACGTGTTGCAGATCAATACCAAGATAAAACTTTATTGTTGTAATGCATTACAGTTGAGATATAGCTACTAAAGAGTCAAACCAGGCCCATCTCAAGCGGAGGCTACAGTGAGGCAGTTAAAATGCAAACTAAGGCCAATCCAGTGTCAATCTTGGTACCTTGCCTGCAGTTTGAGTAAGAGAGATTTTAAGCTAGGCGCTATTATTGATATGTAATGCATACCTTTTGGGAAAAGGTCAACTGAATCATTTTACACTTACTGTTCATTGTTATGCAATCTGCATCAGATGCAATTCAAAGTATAAATGTTGATGTTTGTTTGGTGGCAATATGACTTTGTTTCTTTGTTTTAACAGATTTGAAGGTATACTAGAGTTTGCTGAGGATATGGCCATTGATATTCCCTTGATCTGGAAGTACTTAGCACAAATTATATCTCCAGCCATTTCTGGAGGCTCTATGAATTTGCAGAACTTGGTCTCTTTGTTGGAACCAATCAAAGCTATAGGAAAATCAGGCCACCTATTAGCTGAAGTACTTAAGGCTCAAGTTAAAGAAGTTGTAAGTCATTTTACTATTTATTTTTCAATGTTTCAACATGTTAATTCAATATATTTTGAACATAATTGTTAACAAAGAACAATTCAACAGTTTTTTTGTCCAGACGCAAACAGGCAAATATGGTAGACAAAACATGAAAGCAGGACTCTGCAAGGACTGTGGTTCCTATGCAAGCAGTATTTTATTTATACAAAGATGTAATACACTACAGCACTGTAGTACTAATTTTAATATCTTTGATGGCAAATAGGATAACAGTTGTGTTCAATCTTATTGTAACAAACACACTTGCATAACATACATAAAACAATCTGCTTGATGTCCATAGTCATCCAAATAATATAATTCTCTATTTCAGGGTGCTGCACTTGTTTCTGAAAAATGGGCTGCATCTGGACTGCAACTACAGCAATTTTTAAATCCAGGTGAAGATGTGAAAGATTTTATTGAACGAAGGGTAAGTTTTGAGCATCTGGTGCTAGATTTATCAAACTAGAAATCCATTTTTTTGCTTAAGTGAGATTTATCAATATGGATTAGCTTTTAAATGTCGATTGTACGCATGCGCCATCTAAGACGACTTTTACACTAAGATTTTGCTAAGATGATAAATCAGATATTTGCTTAGAGGCATCTTATGTTTTTAAGTAATGTTGAAATAACATTATCAGGTAATGATCATTGATATTTCTGTTGCTGGTAAATTTTCATGCATCACTGATTGATTCTGTTATCTAATTACAGGATTTAGGTTTTCTTCAAAGTGCGCCTCCTACCTCATCTAGTGGTATGAATCTAGATACAATGCAAACAGAACTGAAGTATCTCCTCAAAGATGCAAGTAATGAAGAAGTCTTTCAGTGGATTGATGTGAGTTGTAACATCCTTCATTAAGAAATAACCATGCAAGTACAAATGAAATATAGGATTACATAATAATTTAAAAGTTAAAAAAGAAAATGTTTGAAATTCCTAACAATCATAGTACTGAAGTTGCATTTTATCTATCTAGCCAAATGTTGTAAATTAGTTTTTCAGCAGAAACAATGCCTCAAGTACATTATAAATGAAATTTCAAAACAATCTACATAAAAATGGACATTCATTTGGTTGAATACTTTTTGTGGCAGCTAATACCTACTGTTGACCAAGTTTTGAAAACTGAACTTCAAAATGACTACATATGATAGTTTGCTCATTGTTGTCTTCAATTTGTTACATAATGTGGACGATGTTTATTTTATCATAATTTGTGAAATTTTCTTGGGTTTTTATTCATACAGAGGCATTTTACAAAGCAGAAAACATTAGAAAATGATTTTATTCGTGCACTGACGACAGCTGTTTGTGAAAGTGCAATTCATGGTAAGATTCAATTCTTTTACTTTTTATTTTGTGAATACTTAACCTGTATAATCCAGCCAAAATTTGTGAATATTCCTTTAAATAGATTTGTAGTGATTTGTGTAGCATTTGCCCTTTTCCATGACCATGCTCTTGACTAAACAGACATTTCCATCTCGGACATTAAAATTGACCTCTTTCCCCAAACCCACTACTTCCCTTTCTGTATTTATCCATTTATAAAGTTCATTTGATATTATGTAAATATTGTCTGTATTTTAAGCAGATGTTAAATCATTTTTGCCTTTCAAGCATTATAATATAAAATCTTGGTATATTATAGTAACAGTAATTGATTGAAGTAAACAAGAATATAACCATTGATGCCTACGCTCTATAATGGTCAATGGTGATGCATTAAGCCACTTAAAAACTACAAAAAATTAATGATGAACAGACACAAACAGAAAGGGGAGGAATAAGTTGCAGACCCCCGATCTTCAAATGGCATCGCCATCACTACCGTCCGTGAACCTGCAGGTATTTTGGCGTCAGAATGCTGGACTCTGGTAGCTTTAATGATTAATATTTCCAATGATTCCTTTCGTATTTTCAGGGGAAGGGCCAGCCAGCCGAGGAGACAGTGAACTATTAAAAAAAAGAGCTCCTCTACTGCAGAAGTATATTGACAGTAAAGACAATCGGGAGCTGCAGGCACTGTTTGCTGTCCAATCTCTCAACAACAGTTTAGCAAACCCACCAGGTAAAGCCATTTATGCCAATGGTTTTTGAAATTTATTGTGTATTTTTTTTTTTGTATAAAGTCCCAAAGGTCGATCAAAAAATCACGAAAAAAAAAAAAAAATTATATATATATATATATATATATATATGAATTTCAAACGCAGCTTTTGTATTCCTTATAAAATTATGACCGTAGTGGTGTAATGTTCCTACCTGATGCATAGTTTGTAATGAGGGTAGGGTGTAAAATTCCTAGTACCTTCATGAAGTAACGCCCCTACCTGAAGATGGATAGTTCTTCCAGACATAATATTTGTTATGTCTTTTATTTTGTACTGAATTGTTTTGGGCTGATAATAGCCTTTGCATGCTGCAATAAAAGATTGGAATTTGCTGTGATCCACTTCCCCAGATGTTGCATAACATACCTTAAAACTAAAGAATATAGATAGAGGAAGAACGAGCAGCTAGCGTATATTATCATGTGAGCCAGGCCTGGAGACCTGCCACCATGAAATTACAGTAAAGTCGCACGGCGTATATTTGAGTTATGAGGCAAAATACATAGAAACCTCATATATGGACTGAAGATTTAAGCCCATTGGGCTTCTATTGGAGCTTTTACGGTACTTAAAATGGATCATAACTGGTAAACAAAGTAAAGTGCTTTAATGGTACTAATGCGCTATCTTTGCTACAGCAAATATTGGCATAATGTAGCATTCAATTTTTATAAAATCCTAAAGAGTCTTGCGACAAAAATTTATTTGGCAACTTAATTTTAGCAACCCAATTTTTGGGGTTGCGACCCATAGATTGAGAACCGCTGTTGTACAGTATACTGCTGCTACTAATTTAATAGATCACTTGTACCAAATTCAAATGTGAAATATGAAACGTTTTACACATTTCTTTGTTTGCAGGTCTGTTGCGCATTTTGTTTGATGTTCTGTATGATGAAGATGTGATTTGTGAAGAAACTTTTTACAGTTGGCATGCTAATACGGATCCACGTGAATCAGAAGGCAAGGGTGTTGCATTGAAATCCGTCACATCATTCTTCACATGGTTACGAGAGGCAGAGCCGGATGATGATGATGAACCAGAAAAACAATAAACAATAAAACAATGATGATAAATATATTAATTATAAAGACACATTTATGCACTATAAGAGTAAGTTATAAATCTGAATCAACAGTTACTTGATAGTCATTATGAGTTGGTGAACCCGCTCAATATTGATGACCTTTGAACTTGTGAACGAGTAGGTTGTTCACCAATCCAGGATCTCTTCACACAGGTGTATGTATTTTTATTTTTTTTTTGGATATCAACATAGCAGACTAGTTGATTTCTTCCAGTTCTACCTATCTGTCTACAATGGAGCATAATATTTCAGTTAAGTTGCATTTTGTCATTATGTTATGCTCTTAGTAAAAACAATAACATGCTTCCATTTGACAAGAAAACACAGAAAGTATAAAAAATAAGAAAAAAAAAACACGAATTTTTGTTGTTTATTATCAAACATGAAATGTTATAGTGGTTGATGTATGTGGGTGGGTAATTTTGCTTATACTGCCGTAGGTGGTGGAATAATTTTTTATTGTATATGGCCACAGCAAATTCATAATGAACAATTAATTTTTTGACATATCTTTTGTTAACTACATATTGTATTATTTCAAAGTAAAATTGTCAAATTTATTTGTGACTGGTAATAAAGAATATTTAATTTTTGATATTAGGTAAATTTTTATGACAATAATGGTAATGTGAAGCAATTAATGGAACTAGCTAAGTTCTTATGTGAATACACAATTAATGGAACTTACTATAGCTCCCAATGTGAATGGAACTATGTACGAATACAAGATGATTCATGGCTGCTGTACAATATTTAAGAAAAAAAATATAAAAAAAAAAAACTTATTTAAACCATTGTTTGTAGTTCATTTTTATCAGAGTTAAGGCCTGTTTATACTTCAACGATAACGATAAAAAAGCTAAAAAGCGATTGTTCATATAGAAAAAAGAAATGAGAAATTTTTACACTAGGACGATTTGATAACGATTTATCGTGTATACGATAATAAAGTATTTTAACAAATCAAATCAGATGACATCATAATCATGGAAAAATTATAAAATCATTGCTACTACTACGATTTTAATGTTTTCCCATGATTATGACGTCATCTGATTTGATTTGTCAAAATGTCGTTATCGCATAACTGATAAATAGTTATCGAATCATTATAGTGTAAAAACTTCTTATTTCTTTTATTTTCTATATGAACAATTGCTTTTTAGCTTTTTATCGTTATCGTTGAAGTATAAACAGGCCTTTAAGGTGTCAAGTTTCCATAAGAAGTAAAACTAAATCCTGCAAATACGGATGAAGATTTTAATGGAAGATTTGTTCACACTATTAAATTGTCTGACAAAAAAACTATTATATGCCCATATATAGTCATGATGTGATGTGATGTGATGATCATATTTAGGCATATCATATGTTTTTGTCAAATAAAATCTGGTAGTCTGGACAGGCCTTTATTTGTCTCAACATTACCCAAAAAACAAGCTCTTGAATCTGTGATATAATAAAACAATAATAAACATCAGCTGTGTGCAAGTGATCTAAGAAACTACAGATTAAAATTCTATGAATGCTTAGGACATTATTTCACTAGGGTGCAAGTGAATGATTGGAAAGCAATGGGATAGAAACAAGATTGTATGATAATGTATCAGACAGTGGCGTAGGGGGCCCTGATGGGGGCGCGAAGGTGAAGTCGGGGCTCGATCAGTTCAGGGGCGCTAATTCGCAAAATATGGTGATTTTAGGGGATTTTTAACTACTTGACCGTGATTTTTTAGCCCACTCTCTGAGAGAGAGGGCTTATTTGATGATTCTGAGCGAATTTTGAAGTCATTTGTTTGTGACGCGATTAGGCCGATCTTGCAATAATATGGAAGATAAGGCCTGGGGAATTTAAAGTATAAAGAGTTTTTGAGAAAATATTGTCGGGAAATATGTGAAAAAGTATGTTTTTATTTCATATTTCTTAACACTAAGATGGGTTTCCTGTGAAAGCGTGTTCGTCATTGATCAGATTGCAAATCGGCTGTATATTCCACATTGTGATTATCAACCAATCACGGCCTGGAATGGTAAGCTTTGCGGCTAATAAATGCGTCTGCACGAGTCTAGTTGGTAGCGAAGAATAAGCCGTTTTGTGGTGCTTGCAAGGTCTCTCCTCTGAGAGATAAACAATAATGTACTGAATGCAGGCTGGCCTAGAGCTACAGGAAGACGAACTATAGGCTGGCTGGGTAGTAGGCCTACGTGTGTGTAATAGATCAGATAACAGGAAATGTAGGCTACAAGTTGCTTTTATGTGTATTAAACCACATAATATTCAAATTGGTTAGTAGCGATGAGTGTATGTGTGCAACACATTTCGTGTCAATGTACTGTAATGCAGGCTGGCCTGACGAAGACGAATAGGCTGGCTGGGTACGTACGTGTGTGTATAGGCCTATGCCCTAGTCTAGATCGGATACTACAGGAAATAAATGTAGGCTACAAGTTGCTTTTATGTGTATTAAACCACACATTCAAATCAGTCAGTAGCGATGAGTGTAACTTAAGTAAGTAACTTTATTGCTTCTCTTTTATAACAGAGGCACAGCCATAAAGACGTGCAACAATAACATAATCAGTAAAAACTTAATTACTGTGATAAAATATAGTAAGAAAATACTGCGGTAGAACGAAATATAAATTTAAAAAAAGGGATTACAAAAATAGTAATAGAGATAAAAATAAATACTAATACTAATAATATAAGTAAGTTGGTTAATACATCACTTATACAC